TGATAAATAAAGCTATGTTGCCCAAAAGCAATAGAAATAGGATGATCAGGGATCAGCAAAATATTAATTCAGAACTCAATAATAAATCTTAAAGTTGATTTATTTATTTGCCTGTACTTTCCTCCATTTGTCACTATCCTTATGTGGACTTACCAAAACGATAGTTCTAGAGCACAATTAGGTTTCACATTTCATACCCCCCTCAAACTGGCCTCTCTTAGTCTTTGAAGATTATTTATTGTACAGATACAGTATTTTTGTCCCATTTTTGTTTATCTATTCTTTAAAAGTTTATCTGACCATTAAAAACTATTGTATTAAATATTAAAAAAAATCTTGAATAATTCTGTTATTAAATTGACATTTTAAGTTAAGTGATGAACTGTCACAGGTGAATAGCAAAGGAGAATAACTTCTTTCAGAAGAAATTAATAAATTGACCAAAGGGTACAGAATTTCAAAATCAGGTAAAAACACCCTTGCTTATTACAACTTTGTCTCTTAGATGCCTAGAAGCAGAGAAGATTTTCAAGAAATAATCCATTTTCACTATAGGTTCAATATAGCCCCATCATAATACCAAAAGCCCCTGATATTTGCAATTTTCGAAGAGGCACTCTCATTCATCTTAACCATGCACTTAGTCTGTTTCCTTAATAACAACGAGCAGAGAAAAAGATTTAAAATAATAGTAATAATAATAATGCATTTCTACTATATATTCAAATGAGCCTTACCCAAACAACAAAATCCCTGACCCAAGGGTTATAATATCAAACTTTTTGATAAGAATTCCTTGCTCGTCATAATCATGCAATTAGTTTTTCTATTAAACAGGTTGGAGAGAATACTCGAAATTGGGTATTATCCGTGAAATCGCGTATAGTCCCCGAAATCGGGGTATCGTTGTATCCGCGAAATCGGGTATAGGCGGTGTAATCACCTTATAAAACTTAAACAATGAGATGGCGCATTTTGCCGTGTCAACTTTCACCTAGAGACAAATGTTATCTAAAGGTATCACTAGCCAAATAACAATTTGGAAGTCTGAATTAATGCGCATATGACAACAAATGCCCGTGGAGCTTAGTACATTTCATGATCTGCACCCAAACAAACGTTCATTCTGCTTTTATATGTTATATAATGTTAAATGTATTTGCATCTTCTTCATGTTCATACCCAACACAACAGAACTATTAAATATCAGAAGTCTGGAATTTATAATATTTCCTCATCAATACGACAAACATGAACATTTTGTAAATAATTCAATTTATACGGAAACACATTTCACACACAAAATAATCTGACATTTAAACAGAGGGTTTTCTATCGTATTTAATTATGCGTCATTAATTGCTTTAACATTCATCTTGTGCATAAAAATAATTCATTACAAAATGTATAAACTATTTAATGGTTAAAATGTTTCAAATTATGACAAAAACTAATATAACACGTATATTATTTAGTATTTTTTCGGAGGGGTTGTTGTTGTTATGAATCTATTTCATCAGTTGATTTATAAACAGAGAATGACAATTAAAGCTTATTTCCAGAAGTTATAAAAGGTGACATATTCTTTCTTATTTTTTTTTTAAATTATTAAAATTTCCTTTGGATTCAACATGCCTCCAACGATTTAGCAAAGACAATGATGTTCTCAGCAACATAGCTTGTGAGAAAAAATAACTGTTGATCAATTAATTTCGCCCAGTTGGCAATATTTTACCATTTTTCGGCGACTTCAGGGGACGAAAGCGAATAGCTATAACGGTTGTTACTAGCTGCCTTACATTAATTATTCCTTGTCTGGACTATCTCGGTCAAGCGAAAATTAACCTCAAATGTGCTATGCATGTGTCCAAGAGAAACATCCCTCCCCTTTCAAAATAATCAAATTAAATGTAAAATGTTATTGCAGAGTTTTGTGCTAAACGTCACTGAATGGTATATATTCATTGCATGATAAAGAGAGAAGATCTATTCATCTAATAAAAATCATATTGATTCCCTATTTTGCCCTCTTGAGTGAATAGAATTCTTCATATCTCCAAAACATTCATGCAATAATTGTTTATATACCGAAACAATATGAGGTTAAAATAGAAACCAGTTATTTTCTACCACATTCGACAAGTTTTAAAAATAACTAAACTTCATGTTTATTTTTTAACACATTTTTCACCATAGATGAATAATAACAAAAAGTGATAACCATGAGTAATAAGTATCACAGATTACAGAAAAGACAGGGAATTATGAAGTTTTAGTTCCCTGTCACGTGATGTACTGTCTAGAATCAATCAGATAACGTATTTTAGCATATTATAATGAGGTTTAAAGCGATGTAACCTAAAATAAACTACAGACTCCGAAGGGAAAATCTACCCTGTCTATCCAATACTATAATAATAATAAAAGAAAGTGTCTCCAATCTGTATGAATGATTAATTAAAAACAATGCAGCTCAAGACTTAAGCTAAGACGCAATTGAACACTCCACTTCAGTTTGTTCATATGTATAAAAAGTAAAAACAGTATAATATGTGAAAACTTTAATATATAATTCATATTTGAATATTAGCTGTTTATTGAGAATGCATAATAAGCACATGAAAAGATGTGCGAATTGGATTTTTTAAAATTTATTTATATGAACCAAGCCCCCCACCCCACCCCCACCTCAGCTAAATGAAAATCCTTTTAACAAGACATCTCGTTCTCAATTTCCACACAAACACACACAGGTAAAATAACGTTGCTTGCATCAATCAAAATGCAACCAAAACATTGGCGGTTTCTTTGAATGAAAATTTTCATGGTAAACTGACATTAAAATATTTTCTTTAAAAAATACGCACCTCCTCGTTTCCCTGCGGGAATTGCAGGACTGTATACATACACCATTGGAGGAACTGCTGATTTTACTTAAGATTCTTTACCTTTATCAATATACACTGTATTAATTTTTAAAAATGTATTTAAGTTTACATGCATGTACACATGTAGATATTAAATTTATTTCATTTTATATTATTTTTCAACCTGCTTTCCCTTTGTTGTTTTTTTTATGTTTGTTTGTTTGTTTTTATTTTATTTTTTTTTTCAATTACGAAAAGGTCGGTATTCTATATCGATGAGAAATACATGTACTTACCAACTGAGGAATAATTTAAATTTAACGTGAAAGGGATGCCATACATTTTTAAGTAAAAAATACATAACACAGTGTTAGTCGTTAGATTTCTTCAAAGTTTTACATTTTGTGAATAATGCACAGGTTAAGAAATTAAGCTTGGGGAATAATTTACAGGGAAATAAACACAGATGACATGTAGTTATTTGTTTTTAGAACTTGTACTGAAAAATAATGACGCCACTGTGCCTTCTTTGCTACCCCAGCAGTGTTTGTCGTGTGATTTTAAACTTGTCAGACAACCATTGAAATTGAGTTCAATAAAAATAAACTCCCAAGATACTGATGTACAAGTAACACTAACTGACATAATGCGCCGTTGCTTTATTTTTCTGTTTTTACAGAAAATTGCACGGTATACCCGATTTCGCGGATTCAGCGATACCCTGATATCGAGGACTATACGCGATTTCACAGATAATACCCGATTTCGAGTATTCTCTCCAACCTGTTAAATACCCAGGGGCAGAGAAGATTTTCAAAAAAATGCATTTCCACTAAATATTAAAAAGACCCCACCCTGACATGAACACCTGACCCTGGGCCACAAATTTCACAATTTTGGAAGAGGCATCCTTGATCATCATAACTATGCACTTAGTTTATCTGCTAAATACCCAGAAGCAGAGAAGATTTTCAAAGAATTAACACAATTTCACAGGGGGAGAGAAGATTTTTAGAGAATTTGTTCTTCTTCACTATATGATCAATAGAGCCCTGCCCTAACACCAAACCCCTGACCCAGAGGCCAATATATTCACAAATTTGGAAGAGGCACTCTTGCTAACCCTTGTTCACCATAACTATATACTTTGTTTTGTCTGCTATCTACCTTGGAGCAGAGAAGATTTTAAAGGGGGGGGGGGGATTTTTTAAAGAATGTATGCATTATCACTTATATGATCAACAAAACCCCAACCTAACTCCAGATTCCCTGACCCTGGGGCCATGAATTTCACAATTTTGGTAAAGGGCTTAATGCTTATTACAATCATGCTGACAGTTTGACTCTTAATGTCCAGGAGTAAAGAAGAAGATTTTTAATGTGGTACTAATTTTGATGGTTTTAGCCCCACCCCTCAGGCCCCAGGAGGGCAGGGACCATGAAATTCACAAACTTTGTTCCCCTTCACCCACAGATGCCATATGCTAAAATTAGCTCTGAAATTGGTTCAAATGTTAACACACGACGGACAACGAAAGACAAAACGGATAGCAATAGGTCACCTAAAATTGGAGGCCAGATCCAGCATGGGGAGCAATTGTGGTAGTGTCTATCCCTAGATGCATCAGCTATGTAAGTTTGGACCAGGTAGGGCATATTATTTCTTGCATATGGACCTGCTCCAAAAACTTTGCCTGGTCACTCATCTGGAAATTGAAGATCAGATCAAGCATCCAAAGCAAGTGTGGTACATCCCTAGATGCATCATCCATGCAAGTTTGGTCCAGGAAAGGCTTATATTAGTTACTTGAGAATGGACTTGCTCCTAAAACTTTAACCAGGATGCCAACACTAACTTTGGTTAAAATTGACCCAGTGGTTTTTAGAAGAAGTTGAAAATGTGAAAAGATTACAGACAGACTGATGGACAGATGACTGACAAGGGGTGATCAGAATTCATTTGAGCTTTTAGCTCAGAAGAGCTAAAAAGTAAATGTAATATGTCTAAAATAAAGTACAGAAAGAATAACAATAGTTCAAATTAGTGACTTGCATGTAGAGGACTGTTAACTGTAATTTTTTCCAAATTGCATAAATTAAGTAGTACAAGATATTATTTTGTTAATTACTTACTTGTTACTCTTTGAACTAGTGGAGCAGTAAACTGAAGTCTTCCAGACTTGCCTGGTTGTGCATTCAGACTATTTATCAACATTGAAAGCAAGAGCTTTAAACCAATGTAGTGAATAAGGTTATAATAGTAAAAATTCATTTACAAACATAATTTTTGTTTTAATTATTCTAGTAGATATCAACCTTTCTGTCTCCTCTGCTAACCATTTCCCATGGGCATAAATTCTTGAACATCGTAGCATTGACTCCACCTCTAATGGCAGGCCTTCTGTTGGTAATCGACTGTAACTATAGGAGCTAAAGATCAAGAAATATTAAAGGTTATGATAACTGAATGAAAACCTGTGCAAATCTGAATGGATAATTTATATATTGTCATAATAAAGATTTACCATGTTTGAAAAATATTTGACAAATTAATTGTTAGTTAACTAAACTAATTAACGTTTACCAAACAAGAGGCCCATGGGCCACAATGCTCACCTGAATCACTTTAAAGCCTTGCTGTTCTGCATCAGATATTTTTTACTAATAAACATGCATTTCTATGTAAAATTCTGATCCCCTTTTGTGGCCCCAGCCAATACACAGGTGCCTTGATTTAAATAAAACATAAGTCTACACTACCAGCATATGCTTTAACAATACTAAGATTCATTATGGCTTTGCTGTTTTTGAGAAGAGGAATTTTAAAGATTTTTCATTATATAATCCCTAATGTGGCCCCATCCAACCCCTGAGGCCCATGATCTGAATAATTTACATGTTCACGGTGTAGCACTGTGTGTGTGGATTTGAAATACACAGGTAGGCACATTGTGCCACACTGTGTCTACAAAAATCCCAGCTAATGCTCCCCTTACCGCACCGTGCCTAGGAAATTCCCTCCGTACCACACCGTGTCCATAACATTACAGAGAAAAATTGTTTGGTTCTGATAAAAAACTTTAAAATTTAAAAACAATTAATCACTTTGATTTATATCTATAATTATCATTTTAAAATCCAGAAGACATTGACTGTGCTCTGAATCATACTAATGACATATGTAGTATGATTAAATACCGGTAACAGAAAATTTAGATAGTTTTGAATTTATTGTGCACCCAGATTTTGTAAAATTATTTAGTTACTTTTTTAAAATTATAATTCTTATTGAAATTTTTAATGTCCGAAGAATTTAATTCCATGTGTTCATGCAATGAAGAAAGACTACATAGCATGATCCATCGAGCTGCATTTGTGTTACATGTAGTATACGATCCAAGCTGCCATCTAAGCATTTATATTCCTGAGTGGAACCACCTGACTCGAGCAGTTTGGCAGTGTTTTGAATCTTCTCTGAAAAATGTTTGGAAACTGTGTGAAATCTGTGGCTTTTAATGCAGTCTGAAGTGAAAATCTGTGGGAAACACTATTTAGGTATCATAGATATCATAGATCAACACAGGCTGACAGGAGTCTGGGACATTCTGGGGTGAGTTTCAGATGTGTTCTATTACAAATCTCAAACTTTCAACCACTTGGAAACACTGATTAGTGCTCAGTGGTCATTCTTGACCATATTCCAATTGTATACATGTATACATATATCTAGGGTGTCTTCTATCTATTCCCGCCCGTGTGGTGCAGTGGTTAGAGCGTCTGCTCTAGAGTTGTGGAGTAAGGAGTTGATCCTTACGTCATGGGTTCGAATCCCACTGCGGGACGTGGAAACCGGTCCTTCAGATGAGACCATATAAACCGAGGTCCCATGTCGCAGTAGGTGCTGGCACGAAAAAGATCCCTCACTGCTCAATGGCCCTGAGTGCCGAGTAAAGGTCAAAATTTTTAGCCCTCCACTGGCAAGTGGTGGCATCTCCATGTGAGTGAGAATTCTCGAGAGGGACGTTAAACAACAAACAATCAATCAATCTATCTATTCCCACTTTTTAAAAATCACAATTCCACCTATTCCCACTTGCAAATAACAATAGATGTTTTGATATTTTATTTGTTTTTGTAGTAATTAGGCTAATTACATCCCATCTTAGATTTACCTGTATTTTGTACATTTTAAGACAGAAAATATATAGATTCATGAAAAAAATACAATTTATTTCATTTAAATATATGGATTTTAGAAAATATAATAAAGAGGGTTTCAAAAGAAACATTTTATTATCTTGATTTTAAAACTTAAAATAAATAGATTTACGTAAAAATGCATGTAAATATCATGAATTTTAAAAAATAAAATAGATTAACGGAAAAATATGATTTAACTCACTTAAATATCTGCCTTTCGTTTTTTTCTTTTTCTTTCAAATATTAGTAAAAAGTCTAATTTTTCTTTCCAATATAAGTAAAAAAGTCAGATTTATAATTGAAAAAAAGCCGATTTACCAGTCATCTATTCCAACAGGGGTTAATTAATCACTGTTTTTACAGTAATTGTATGTTTATGCAGTTAATTATTTTTTTTACACATAAATTCCACCTATTCCCACATAAAAATTTACCTTTTCCTGCCTGATTTTCTAAAAGTGGGAATAGGTAGAATAAACCATATCTAGCTGCTACCGGCTATCAGTACTGTGCGTGTACAGTTCATAATGTGTTTGATGATCAGACTACTATATAGAATCATGTCAGAAACATCCATGGCAGATATTGTGAATATATTATCTCAGAGTCATTCTGTTATGTACCAAGCCTTGCAATGATGGGTCTCAAACAACCCAGAAAGAGATTTCTCTTGGAACACTTCACAAACTTCTCCTACAAATAAACTCAAGATTAGCTACCATCGAGAACAAAAATGTAGCGCTCAACAAAAGACTGTGTGATATAGAAAATAAAATGACACATTTACAGACTATAACTGACTCTATATCAGCATTGAATGAAAGACTAAACAATTTTAAGGGCAAGGTCAAGGATGTGAGACAGACCGTGTTGTCCATTGAGGCCAGTGCTCAGTACATGAATGATATGTTCGAGGACGTCAAAGCAAATGCAGACTGAGATCCAGTGTTTTTTTTTTAAACTTTGGGACTGGGGTCTGGGGCCCTCAGCATTTAGGAATTCCAGCATTAATTAGGCTTAATTGGGAATCTCCCAGAAAACCCAGTCACTTAAAAAGCATTGTCAAAAAGCTTTGTTTTTGTCTTTGTATTACTTTAACAAATAATTGTTATAACAAATCAAGACTATCCTTGGTATGAATTATCAAATTACTTGCATCAAGAACAATAGTGGTACGAATTATCTAATTGTGAAGAAATCCAACATGGCTGAACACCAAAACCTGCTTGAACTTCACTGAAAAACATGTTTTTCTTTGGGAAAACTTCCACTACATTTTGGGAAAATACAGGCATATTTTCAACTGGGACTGAGGCCGAATTTCAGCCCCAAATCGACCCTTAAAAAAATCAATGAGATCTGATATTAATTAGAAATGACATAGCCGAGTTAGAGAACAAAAGGCCCAAGGGCCTTTACGGTCACCTGAGTACAATACAACAATTTAGAGGATCCATAAACTGATAAATAAGCTTTGTTGCCCAAAAGCAAGAAAAATAGTATGATAAGCATCAACAAAATAATTGGTATAGAATTTATCTGTCCCCCATTTATCACTATTACCATGCAGACTATTAACAAAATGTCTATTTTTAATCCCAAATTACTACTTCTCACATTGGTCTCTCTTGGCCTTTGAAGAACATTAAAAAAGATAAGTTATTTTTCCCTCACTTTTATTCATCTATTATTTCCAAGTCTACCTAATCATTAAATCTATGAAAGTACTTTTTGTATTATACAATAAATATTCTTGCATAATTCTCTTATTCTATTAACCTTTCAAATACATTATTTACAGTGATTAATTATCAAAGGTGAATGGCAAAGGGGAATAACTTTGCTCAGCAGAATACAAGTTCATAGAGCCTTGGCCAGGACCAGAACACTTGACTAAATAATCCAGGTGTTCAAAATTCTGGTAAAAATACCCTTGCATATTAAAACTTTTACTCTTTTTGCCTCGAATATGCCCAGAAGCATTGCAGATTTTCAAAGAAATGCATGTTCACTATATTATTAAATAAATAAAGTGCCCCCCCCCCCTTACACCAGAACATCTTACCCAGGGGCCATGAACTCACAATTCTGGAAGAAGCACTTTGCTCATCATGACTATACACTTGTTTCTTTGCTTTATTACCAGTAGTAGAAAAAATATTTTGAAAGAAATTATGCATTTTCACTACAAAATCAATAGAGCCCCCCCCCCCTCTTCACCAGAACCCCTGACCCAGGGGCCATGAATTTCACAATTTTGGAAGAGGCATTCTTCCTTATCATAACCATGCACTTTCTTTGTTTGAATAATACCCAGGAGCAGAGAAGAAGATTTTGAAAGAATTTATGCATTTTCCCTATATAATCAATAGAGCCCCGCCCTAACACCAGAACCCTTCACCCAGGGGCCAAAAATTCAAAATTTCTGAGGAGGCAGCCATGCTCATCATAACTATGTACTTAGTTTATATAATATCCAGGAGAGAGAAGATTTTCAAAGAAATAATGCATTTTCACTATATATATCAATTGAGCCCCACCCTGACACCAGAACCCCTGACCCAGGGGCCATGAAAGTCACAATTTTGGAAGAGGCAACTATGCTCATCATAACTATGCACTAAGTTAGTTTATTTAATACCCAGGAGCAGAGAAGAAGATTTTCAAAGAATTCATGCAAATAATCAATAGAGCCCCACCCTAACACCTGAACCCCTCACCAGGGGCCATGAAATTCACAATTTCTGAAAAGGAAGCCATGTCCATCATATCTATGTTCTTCGTTAGTTTATTTAATATCCAGGAGCAGAGAAGAAGACTTTCAAAGAATTAATGCATTTTCACTATATAGTTTATAGAGCCCTAACACCAGAACCCCTGACCCTGGGGCCATGAATTTCACAATTTTGGAAGAGGCACTCTTGCTCATCATAACTATGTACTTAGTTACTTTATTTAATACCCAGGAGCATACAAGAAGATTTTCAAAGAATTACTGCATTTTCACTATATAATCAATAGAGCCCCGCCCTAACACCAGAACCCCCTAACCCTGGGGCCATGAAATTCACAATTTTGGAAGAGGCACTCTTGCTCATCATAACTATGTACTTAGTTACTTTTTTTAATACCCAGAAGCATACAAGAAGATTTTCAAAGAATTACTGCATTTTCACTATATAATCAATAGAGCCCAACCCTAGCACCAGAACCCCTGACCCTGGGGCCAT